TGAGCGCGACGCAACTCGTTGTGGTATATGGGTATTCGTTGCAGTAGTCAAACAGACAGCGGGACGCGACGCGTCGCGCCCGGCGTGATGACAGCTTTGTATTCGTCTACAAAAATGGACATGGAAAAAGTTGAAAAACTCATCGAAAGTGTTTAAATCCCTCAAATATTATTTCCCCATATTCTGCCCCTAACTCGGTTGAGAAACCTCTAAATCTTGGGGGAAATCCTCTGATCTGGCAACACTGAAATCACACCAAGTGTGGCGGGTCGGCCGACGCGACGCTTGCAGGATCATCACGTCCGCAGTGTGACATCCACGCCGCGTCGCCGTCCCGCCCCGTCCGCTGTCTGACCAAACCATTAAATACAAATTCAAATTACATTAATATTAAATAAATAAGTAAAAGTATTTTTTTAAATCAACATAAATTCTGTATGTCAACATAAAATACACATGAAAATATACATTTTAAAAACAAAAAACGTGACTGCACTTAAAATTTGATCAATAATATTTCTAGAAGAAATAGATAATATACCTATTTGTCTCTTAAATTTAAATATAAAATGTAATTAAAAAATACAAATACGATTGAATGCTAGTACAATAAATATATAATATCTATATAATTGATAGTTTCAATGTCAAATAACAATAAAGTGATTAGAATATTTTTAAGTATTTTATATGATAATTATTAGTAATAATTAGTTTTTTTTTCGTTTTCTATTATCTGATAAAATTTAAAAATTAAAAACAAAATATAATGTTTAGGATCTAGAACTAAACTCTAAAGTACGATTGAATGCTAGTACAATAAATATATGTAAAGAAACTTGCATGTTTCTTTGATATATTGTAATAGATGACGCCATCGGCCATCTTGGTTTGAAGAAGAAGTTTGACAAGTGAAAAGTCAACGTTATTAATAAATTGTTTGATTGTGAAATTGTAAAAAAGGAATTGATAATTTTATAATAAACTTTTAATGTCGTTTCCTTGTTTTCAGGTATTGTTATATTGTTATTTAGGTTTAGAATAATATAATTAGTATAGTGTGTTAATAATAAAATAAATAACCTTGTTTTCAGAGAAACACAATTGTTTATTTTCAATTCCATATAAAAAGATATAATCTTATAAAACGACATTTAGTTCTAACGTCTAGTTAAATCCAGAAAAATGGAGAAACTACTATTTGAATTTGTACTAATGGGGTCAACGGATGGTAAAACAAATGTCATATGCATAACCTATATTGAGACACCAGACGGACGTGTATTTGAAGTCCCAGATGAGTTAAGGCCTATAAGTAAGCACACTGCTATATTAAATTCCAATGTATATACGAAGATAAAAAATTCACTAAAAAAAAGACATCAGTCACGCACAGTCTGGATCCCTCTAAATAGTGATTTGAAGGAAATATATCTGGATGAAGGTGAAAATTTACAGTTTGGCGAACAGTATTTAGATGAGATTAAAAGAGAAGCAATTTCCTCAAACAACAACACTAATAGCAGTGCACTAGAACAGAAAAACATAGGAAAAATCGCTGATAGATTTTTGATAGAAAAATTTTCAAATAAAACAATAAATGCTGACCAATGGATTAGTGAATTTGAGAGTGAATGTGGGAGATTCGAAATTATACACAATGAAGAGAAAATTGAGATTTTAAAACATCTCCTCGAGAAACAGTGTCTTGATTGGTATAGTAGTATGTTAATAAAATTGACAGTGAATTCCGAATGGGCAGTATGGAAAGATAACTTTTGTGAAACATTTGGAAATAAAGGTTGGTCCCAAGTAAAATATGCATTTACATTTAGATTTCAAGCTGGATCTTTACTGGAATATGCAACCAAAAAGGAAAGACTGCTATTAGAGGTAAATAAGCATATCGACACCCAAACAATGATACATCTTATTGTAATGGGATTACCAGATTATATTGTTGATAAAATTGATAAAAAACGTAAAATCAACTGCAAGCCTTTACAATGAAATTGGGAAACATGAACATGTAGCAAACAAAAATAATATTAGCAGTTATAAAAAATATACTTACGATTATAAAGGCAAGGCAGATAAAATAAAACCATGTAGAACTTGTGAAAATTTAAATAAAGGTATTCGATTCCATCCAGAGGAAAAATGTTGGTTCAAACAGACAGAACAGAGTAATCATAAGAGAGATAGTAAAACCGTAAACAATTCAGTGATTGATGTTGAACTCAATAATGATAAAAAAAAAACGAATAATAACACCATTAATTAAAGTCAAACTATTATTAAATGAAAAATTAAAAACATTTGGATTATATGATTCAGGATCAAATGTATCTATAATTAATTCCAAATTAATAAGATTGAAAGGAAAAGAGAAGAATGATTTAAGAAGTGATAATTTAATCACAATTAATGGTGTTAAGAAAACAATTGGTTTGACAACAATAAAAATAAAAAATTTTGATATTGAAGAAGAAAGTGATGTTTATATAATTGATGGAGAAGAATTTAAATATGATTTTCTAATTGGACTGGATATTATAAAAAAGTTTAGACTGGTTCAAGATGAGAATTTGAACATCACTCAAAAAAGAGAAGAAATAAAACTACAAGAAAAAAAAGATTCTATGAACGAGTATAATAATAAAAATAACACTTCTAAGGAAGTGAAAAATGAAACAAACCCATGTTCAATAAATTTTAATGAACACATAAAAGAAGAAGATTTCAAAATAAGTATGAGTAATTTAGATGCTAAACAAAAGTCAGAAGTATACAAACTAATCGACATTTACAAATCAAACTTTGCAAGAGACAAATATGACATTGGTACGGTTAGAGAATATGAAGCACGTATTGATCTACTTTTGGACAAATATTGTAGTAAGAGGCCCTATAGATGTTCAGTTGAAGACAAAAAGGAAATAGAAGAACAAATTGCTAGGTTACTTGATAAAAATCTTATAGAGGAATCTTATAGCCCGTTTGCGGCACCAGTTACTTTGGCTTTTAAAAAAGAAGACAACAAAAAATCAAGATTATGTATAGATTTTAGAGATCTTAATAAAATAGTGGTACCCCAAGCTCAACCATTTCCATTGATAGACGACCTAGTGATTAAGACAAGAAACTCAACATATTTCACAACATTGGACATCAATTCAGCCTTCTGGTCTATCCCACTAAGAATTGAAGATAGGAAGAAAACTGCTTTTGTAACGCAGGAAGGGCATTATCAATGGACATGTTTACCTTTCGGATTGAAGACTTCACCAGCGATTTTCCAAAGGATACTAAGTAACATTTTAAGAAGGTATAAGCTTACTGATTTTGCTGTTAACTATATAGATGATATCTTAATTTTTTCTAAGACTTTCTCAGAGCACATTAATCATCTAACACAATTGTTAGAAGCTATAAAAAAGGAGGGTTTTAGACTAAAATTTACGAAATGTACATTTGCTTTGGATTCAGTTAAATATCTTGGTCATATAATACATAATAATACAGTACGGCCAGTAAGGGATAATTTAGTATCTATAAAAGATTTCCCCATACCAAAGACTCAAAAAAATATTAGGCAATTTTTAGGTAAAATCAACTTCTACCATGAGTATATACCAAAAAGTGCATTAATTTTAGAACCTCTTCATAATTTACTTAGGAAAAACCAGAAATTTATTTGGTCTACAGATTGTCAGAAATCTTTTGAAAACATAAAAAACTTATTGTGCTCACAGCCAATCTTAGAAATATTTGATCAAAATTTGCCAATTAATATTCACACAGATGCATCTTTAGAAGGTATTGGGGCAGTGTTAAAGCAAACACAACCAAATGGAAAAAATAAGCCAGTGGCATACTTCTCAAAAAAATTAAATCAAGTTCAAAAGAAAAAAAAGCAGTTTATTTAGAATGTTTAGCTATTAAAGAAGCAATAAGATACTGGCAATATTGGCTAATAGGTAAGTCGTTTACAGTATATTCAGACCATAAACCATTGGAAAATTTAAATATAAAGTCTAGGACAGATGAAGAATTAGGAGATTTAACATATTACTTATCACAGTATGATTTTAAAATTAAATACGCTCCGGGAAAAGACAATATAGAAGCAGATTGTTTAAGTAGGAACCCAGTATTAGATGCAAGTGAGGATACAGATGAACAATTAAAAATTGTTAACATGATAAAGTTGATTGATATTGTCACAGATCAGGAAAATAATGAAGACATAAAAAATAATAAATCCAAATTAATATCAAAACACAATGTTTACTATAAAAAGGTTAGACAACGTGAAAAAATTATATTATCAGAAGATTTCAGTAAAAAACTAATTAAAGATGTACATGAAAATATGTGTCATTTAGGTGTAAAACAAATGCAAAACAAAATCAGTATGTTATATACAGCAAGAAATTTAACATTAAATATTAAAACATATTGTAAAAGTTGTGAGATCTGTATAAAAAATAAAACAAGAGGACATGATAAGTATGGTCTCATGTCACATTTAGGTCCTGCTACAAAACCGTTTGAAATAGTCTCAATAGACACGATTGGAGGTTTCTTCAATACCTTGTTTTCAGGTATTGTTATATTGTTATTTAGGTTTAGAATAATATAATTAGTATAGTGTGTTAATAATAAAATAAATAACCTTGTTTTCAGAGAAACACAATTGTTTATTTTCAATTCCATATAAAAAGATATAATCTTATATATATAATATATAATTGATAGTTTCAATGTCAAATAACAATAAAGTGATTAGCATATCTTTAAGTATTTTATATGCTAATTACTTAGTAATCATTAGTTTTTGTAAGGTTTTCGTTTTCAATTATCTGATAAAATTTAATTTAACATTGTATTAGAGTTACTGTTCTATGTCTGAAAAAATGATTACAAGGTCATTAAGGTATATAAAGAGAAAGTGTTTTAGATGAACATGTGTATTCACTAGCTACATGTCAATGATGATGGGCGTCTCAAAGATATCTTTTATTCTACTGTTAGTCGCATGGAGCGTACAGGGTAAGTTTTTTATATTCTTATTTATCAACCTTTTTTATTTATTTATAAATTAAGTACAGTACCGTTTATTGCAGGCGATGCTGAAAGTCTCGCCTCGCTCTATGGAGGGCAAGAGCCCGAGACCCGAGTGGTGGGTGGCAAAGACGCACCCGAAGGGCTTGTGCCACACCAAGTCGCTCTAAAAACAAAAAAAGATGGCTGGACTTTCTGCGGCGCTGCCGTCATCTCCGACAGATGGATACTGACAGCTGCCCATTGTGTCAAAAGGTCTAATAATACATACATATGTGCAGTAAAGCTCTGATCTAAGAGCGCGGCCTCACGATGCGGTAACGGTGCGGTGTGGCGCCTACCGCAATTACTTCGAGCTATAGGGTGCCATACGGGCGCTGCGGTGTGGCAATATATTTTACCCCTCCCCGCTTCGTCTCGCATGTCACAACTCCGGCGCGCTTGCGGTGCGACGCCGCGCGTCGGCGCAACGCGACGTGTAACATTGTATAGTAATTTGTATGTAGGATAACGTTACGGCACCGCTCCGGCGCCGTACCGCACCGTTACCGCATCGTGTGGCCGCGCTCTAAGAGTATAACAGGCTGCCGTTTTTTGTCTGAGCTTTTGAAATTATATGTAATAAGTTTGAATTTTTTGCCAGTCTCCAACCATCACAGTTTACCGCTGTAGTTGGTACATTATCGAGAACGAGAGGTGGTACATCGTATGAAATAAGCAAAGTCATTGCTCACAAAGAACATAACAAGCCAGATAGGTTCAACAACGATATTGCTGTTATAAGTACGAAAAAGGCCATCAAATTCAATAAAAACGTTCAGCCCCTGCCATTACCCACAAAAGATATCACGGCTGGATTGTCGTGTATACTGAGCGGCTGGGGTAAACTTGTGAGTAAAAAATTTTGCGGAAATTAATATTCGTAAAAATTGATATTATAGAAAGAAATGTTTCCGACGAACTTATATTTTACACAATTGTATTCATAGGCCATTTCTATACTTTTAGAACCGTAACCGGTCATTGCCAGACAAATTGCAGTATTTGTATGTAAAAACTTTAACAAGCAACGAGTGCAGTAAGAAGATAAATGATGGACGCAACTCAGCCGTTATTAGTTCCAGCCAGATGTGTACCCTTAACAAACGTGGAGAAGGAACATGCCAAGTGAGTATATATTTAAAGAACGCGTCACGATTTTTGAGTATTGTTTAAGACGATTGTAATTGGCATGAAACATCTAGAGCTGATAGATTTTTCCGCTATCTGTTTCAACTGTATACGAATAGAGAGCAAACATAGCTTACTGACTTACCTACATCAAAACAACTTCTTAGTAATAACGATGTTTGAGTTTCGTAACAGACAATATAATTTTATGAATTATCGATATTTTATCAATATAATTATAATTATTACATTTATTCAAATTATCCGCGTGCAAAGTACAATGATTGTCATCGGAAATTTTCAGGGTGATTCAGGCGGCAGCTTAGTGTGCAACGGCACCTCAGCCGGCGTCGTGTCCTTCAACTGGCCCTGCGCTAATAATATCCCTGATGTTTACGCTAACACGTACAAGTACAATTCCTGGATAGAAGAAAATACTAAATCACCCTAAGCATTGTCAATTATAAATTGTTATAAATTTCGTCGCATAAATTATTATACGTTTTTTATTTAGTTGTAATTCCCATATTGCATACTCAAACACCAAAAAGCATTAAGTATAATATAGGGACACTGACGAATCCCAAAAATAAATAACTTATGATATCTTTTTTGATATTTATTTGTAACTATAGTGAATTGGTGTTTCTACCCCTAAGCTTCTTAAGCTACTGTTACATTATCACTGTTGGACGTTTCCAGTGACGTTTTATGACTGGGTACAAAACTACCGTCCGTCAAAATTAGCCTCTTAGCTGCGCTAAATGACGACTTAATGTTACTAAAATTAAATTCAAGTAAACTTGTAAAATGTAGTGCCGCATAAGAAGAGCTTTCAAAGTGATTGAGAGATGGTGCAATGTGCACGAATTATCTGTCAACCCATCTAAAACAGAACTAATACTCTTTACCAACCGAAGAGTTCTTGGACCGTACAGACTTTCGAAACTCTTCAACACTGAACTCAGACTTAAGAATGAAATCTAGTAAAAGTACCTAGGTGTGATCTTGGACAGTAAACTGCTCTGGAACAAACATCTAGAACACAAACTAAACAAAGCAACGATCGCCTTCTATCAATGCAAAAAGATGCTAGGCGTGAAATGGGGCTTGTCGCCTAAGATAACTATATGGCTATACACTGCCATTATCAGGCCAATGCTAGCCTACGGAGCCCTTGTTTGGTGGCCTAGAACAGAACTTCAAACGGCAATTACTAAACTTGGACGCTTCCAAAGGCTTGCTTTGTCCGCTGCTAGCGGTTGTATGAAAACAACACCAACTGCAGCAATAGAGATGGCCCTGCAGATCTTACCTCTAGACCTACACATACAGCAGGAGGCAGCCCTGGCTGCTATCAGGCTTATGGTACTGGATCTATGGGGAAAAAATCACTATAGTGCACATACAGCGATTCTCAACGGGGCGATAGAGTATCAACCTCTTATAGCTGCGCCCTGTGATAGAATACTAACCAACTAATATTTAGCAGGAAATACCACATACAACTGAGAGAAGAGGAACATGATCGGTCGACCATGAATGAGCTACGTATATATACAGATGGATCTAAAACAAGGTCTGGCTCAGGCGCTGGCATATTCTCTCTTGATCTCAACATCAACATACACCTACCCCTGGGCACACAGAGCACGACCTTTCAATGTGAATGTGTCGCCTTAACCAAAGCAGCCAGAGCCGTGCAACGTCGGGGGATTAATGACTTTTGCATTAAATTCGTATCCGACAGTGCATCCGTGCTGATGGCGCTTGGAAACAAAAAAACCAACAGCAAACTAATACTGGAGTGTCATAAAGCACTGGAGGCCATAACCCGAACCAATAGGGTTACCTTGCAGTGGATAAAGGGACACAGTGGACCTCTCGGCAATGATGCTGCTGACGAGCTTGCGAGAAGAGGCTTCGGAATGATGCCTGCTGGCCCTGCTGGAGGAGCGATACGCTCCTCCCCTTGCCGCTGAACTCCAGCAACAACGATGGTCGCATAGTGCGGTCTGCAAACAGTCCAAAATGGCTCTGCCAGCAGTGAACCCGCAACTGACAAAGCGACTACTAAGCTTAAATAGAACCAACCTTAAAACCTTGAAAAAGTCCTCGGAACGGTGAGGTCGCTCCGGGAAGCCTGTGAAGCGCCCAGGAGACTTCTGTGCTTTTGGAAGGAGCTAGGCTGGCTAAATTAGCCAGGACTCGTACGCACAACGGACCAATTAGGAGTCTAATTGCGGAGAAAGGAGTCTAACTACCCTATACCCCCTATACCCTATGTAGTGTAGATTTGAGTGGGAAAAGAATGTTTATTTTTATGTAGTAACTGCGTGACCCGGCAAACATTGTTTTTCCATAGTATAATATTTCTAGGAAACATTTTTTTAGTTCAATAAATAGAACTATCTACTATAAACATATAGGGGTAGGACCACTCTAAACATTTAGGGGGATGAAAATTAGATGTCCGATTCTCAGACTTACTAATATGCATACAAAATTTCATAAGAATCCGTCGAGCTGTTTCCGAGAAGTATGGGAACGAACATTGTGACATGAGAATTTTATATATAAAGATAAATACAGTAGACACTAATTCATATTTTGTTCACACACTTGTTTAATAATATTCAATTAAATATCACATCAGCAAATGACTAAATACCTAAAAACATCTTAAATAAGAATTTTCGCGTTCAATTTCGTATTTATTTTTTGACAACACAGGTTTAGCTTGTCAGAACACAACGATAAAACAGACATTTGTCATAAACATGGCGTTTGAAAATAATTTTCGCGGCGTTAACAATTTTCCACGGATAAAGAGCCTTCTGTTTTCCTGGAGGCTTTAATATATTTTTGCGAATGTAAAGTTGCGTATCTGTGGTTATATGATTTTGATTGGCCGTCGTATCCGGAAAATAAAACTTAATTTTTGGCGGAAAATAAAATTGGAATTGCACATGTTTTCACTGAGTTTAAAATATATTTTTAATGTTATGGAAAATGTATAGAGTTGTTGGATTATTATTATTATAAATTAATGTTTGACATCAAAACCGCCTTCGTAGGTTCATTGCGATATTTAGTGAATTTATATGAATAAAAAGGCGTTATTTTTTCAAATGCTCATTTTCTATTGGAAATACAACAATGTATTAATATGCAATTGAGAAAAAGAGCAATGTTGTCCTATTGGTTTCTGCGTGCGACCCTTATCTCTGAAGTTTTAGGTTCGGACCCCGGCTGTGCACTAATGGACTAGTAGGGAATGTTCGCCATAATGCCAACTCATCATCTTCATCATCAAAACAGACTTTTAGAGGATTACGTTTCTAGCGATATCAGTTAGTCTGCGTATATCATTCTTAAAGAGCGGTTGTCTAATTTTTCTATTGTAACTACTATTCTAATTAAATCCTTTTTTTTAAAGGCTTTTTCATTCCGCGGTCTAACGGTACGTTGAAGGAAAACATCGTGAGGAAACCGGCTTCGATTAGGACCAATAGTAATAGATGAAAGATTTAATCAAAAACGATAGGACGAAAGATAAAAGCAATTAAAGGAACAATTTGTATAAGATCAAAATAATTCAAATACACATTTTGACATCAAAGCAGAATTATGTTTGCCCCAAGTCATTTTTCGACTACGGGTGGAGGAAATTACCAGAATTCCGGCTTTTATTTTTCATTGTAATTATGGTATGACTGAGTAGGATAAAGAGAGAGATGTGTGTATGAAATATATTTAAACAAGGACGAATTGTTTTAGATTTAAATTATAATTCATGAATAATCTATCAAGATTTAAGATCTTTGATATTTATTTCATTTACACCTCAAAAACAATCGCAAACATTTTCCTGATAAAAAAATAGAAAATCTTTAAACGATAACCGCTACCTGTCTCGGCTATTCACAGCTTATATTGGTCCAGAACTTTTTTGAGTTACTAACATACAAAATATATGAATTGCTATATAATTATGAAACAAATATACAAATAAAAATTAATAACGTGATGTTAAGCACGGTCCTAAGTGCCGAGTCTGCAAAACAGCCAGTTTTTTATAATGTCCGGAGGGTACATTAAGAAGCTTTTAACAACATGAAGAATTTTTGCCGTCAACTTTTCTGGTATTCTTACAAAGTTGCGGGAGATACACAAGTTTATTCAAATATATTTAGTTTATGTCACCGTTATGTGTATTTAAAATGGGTGTTTAATGCCTATAAATATATACACTTAAATTGATTGAGCCTAATAAATACAAGGTTAATGGAACTTGTCGCAAAACGGGTGCGGTCACAGATAAGTAAAAAAAAAAGGGTGCGTGTACTTATGTACGCGCGTAAGAAGTTATACTTCTTTGGCATTATTAAAAATAGTTTTTGATTGCATGCAAATAATTAATTACAATTAAATAATCAAAGACTGGAAAAGGAGTCATTAAAGTCAATAAAGTTCAGTTTACATTTGAAAAATTAATTAAATAAATATTTATTATTATTCTCTTACATTAAACAAATAAAACACTATTTATCTTTAAAACATTTTCATTTCATTATACTATTTATTTTTAAGTGACTCTAATGTCTTCATCAGAATTTCGGTTTGTAATTTTAAATTAATCATTACTTGGTTGTGCATCTACGAGGCTTCTCCAAAACTACTTGCTTTCTGCAACAAATAAGAGAATATTAATTTAAGCTCTGTCCATGCAAAACTTAAAATTTTTTATAATTCATATTATAAATTTTTAAACACATTTATATTAATATAATTATATAAATGTGTTAATAATATAATTTGTAGCACATGCTACAGACCTGGATAGCAACTTTCTTTTATTCTATTTAGAGATAGAGATAATTTAAATATAATACCGGTGTCTTCCTTGTAGGTTTCTTTGGAGTTGTTTGGGGATTCTTGTTGTTCAGTTCGACATGATTTTCTTTAACCTTTCTTTAATCCTACAAAATAATGAAATTGTTAAGTTATGTTGTCACTGTTGTGCACACCTTTGTTTGGATTTTTTAGTATTCAAGTTATGTCAAAACTGATTTATTACCTTGTCATTGTTGGCTTTATTTGCTTTTGGGATATCAATTGTTTCCAAAATGATTTTATTTGTAATAACCTGAAATATATAAATAACATCTATTAATTTAAGTATCATGGTGAGTGGTTCGCACTCAGATATTAAGGTGTATTATACCCACTGTCCATTATAAGTGGGAATGGGCTCACTTCTGGCTGGACAGAGTTTCGGTACTACAAGTGCAACATGGATGTTTTGAGGTATTACAATATCTCTAACTACCCTGTAGGGGAATAAAGTAATGTTGTAAGCATATGCCTATGCTTGAAAGGTTGAACCTTGAACATCACCATACATCATATTTATAATTAACATTCCTACCTTGACACCATCACAATCAA